CAGACACGATGGTTCTTTTTCTCTCTCATTTTCTTCTTGCCAGAGCCTTTTCCTTTTTAGAAGACATAAGATATTATATAGTGTGAGTAACCTGATCTGAGCTAACAATTACTGAGGGTAAGACCTCATTACAGTACATTAAGTGCTGCTTCAACTGCAACTTTCCACCTTTCTTCTAGTGGAAAATCACAAAACTTAAAAAAAAAGTAATAAAAATTAAAAACTCTTAACAAGAAACAAGAAATTCCAGTAATTCAGGTAAATAATGTTATTTTTGCATATTAGGTTAAATAGTTGATATACAAAATAACATATGACATATATTAAAAAATCCAAATACTAAGTTAAGTTTTAGGTTGCATTAGGAATTGTGGTAATGTTTAGGTAGTAGGGTGACTGTCTCTATGGAAGGAGGTGAGGGCTGGCCCTTACCAGACAGAGACAGAGCCACTGCAGGGGACAGCTGAGCCCATGAGCCACCCTGGTGGCACCTCTAGGGGAGATTATTTAAGACAGGGTAAAAAATATTGCACTTAGTGTCAGGAGTGAGGAAGAAAGCATGGGAAAAGACACTGTGGACACCAAGGAGAGAAAAGAGGGAGGAGATTGTCCAGGCACCAAAGCAGGGCAGGCTGGAGCAGGTACTTCTTCTCAGACCCTGGAAGAGCCACACTGAATCCAGATATCCACACTGCAGCCTGTGCAGGATCCCACACTGGAGAGGTGAAAATGTCCTGGAGGAACCATGGGCTGTGGAGTTCTCACAATGGAGCAGGTTTATCCTAAAGGACTGCAGACCATGGGAAAGATCTATGGTGGATTAGGAAAAAAAATGAGAGGAAAAAGGACTGACACAGATGAAGTGTTATGAACTAACCACAAGCCACATTCCCCATCCTCCTGCACTGCTCAGTGGGGAGGAGGAGGTAGAAGAGTTGGGAATATAGGAGTGACACTAAGCCTGGGAAAAAAGGAGGGGTGGAGGGAAGGTGTTTTAATCTGTCTTTCTCACTATGCAAACCTATTTTATCTGGCAGAAAATTAAATTGACTTTTCCCAAGTCAGTTCTTTCTTGCCCATGACAGCAACTGGCGTGTGTTCTTGCTGTTTATGTCTGAACATACACTTTTTAAAATTTTATTTAGTCCCTTTATCCTGCTGAGGAAAAGCAGCTTGGTAGACATGGGGCAAATGGCAAAAGTCAGCCCACAACAGAGAGAGACAAGGGTTTATCTTACAAGTTAGTCACCAGGCAGCTTAGAAGATGGTTATCGACCAAGATCATTCTTTTTCTGTTGTTGTTGTTGTCTGCATTTCCCATAGCCTACCATCTCTTCAGATACGCTTCAAAGGACACACTGCCTGTGCTGCCTTGAAACTATATTTTGTCATTCTGTTGGCAAACATTGTCAAAAAACTTTCTAAGTGATACTGAGTTTGTGCACAGCTAGGAATAGAAAAAAGGAAATCACAGAAATCTGATGTGCAGAGTGTTGTAACGTTGTACATTAAATTTTCTTTGTAAACTTGATATGTTAGCCCACAACAGATAAGCATATTTTGGAATGGGTAAATTCAGGCATAAAATGTACTTTTAAATCAAGTTAAGGTCCTACATCAAGTGGGACTGTGCTTTCATGCTTAAGTGGGTTTATATATATATTTTCCCTGTTGGAGTGAGTGTAAATTTGTACACTATTAGAACTAGAGGTATACTCTTCTTGATTTACAAGTGGTTTTAGTATTAGTTGAGCCTTAGTTTTAGCTAAATTTATATGTACATGTTAAACTTAAAGAATGCTGAGCACTTTTCCCTATTTGTCTTCATTCCAGTATTTAGGAGCATATTATGCTTCTAGGTATAGTGCTGTGGAGAGTTTTGGAAAAGACCTCTACCAGTGCCTCCCACAAAGGAGAGATTAAGTGGTTCAGGAAATTGCAGGTCTGAAAAATTCTTCCTTGACTAAATGAATCAACCATGAGCATTTAGCATTGTCAGAAAATTAGGTCACAGATAACGTAAGCCAATTTTCCGTGGAATTCCATTCCAGAATAAGTTAATTTTACATTTGCTGCTCTTTTTAAGTCATAGTTGCAATGATAAAATGTCCATAGTGGACGGTGGCTTCATCTTTTGAATCTCTGGGATGATTTGAAATGACTTTGTGTTCCTTTTCAAGTTGTTCCAATGCATGACTGGAGTTCTCATTAGAATGATCTTCATGCAAGGCCTGCCTGGTTCCCAGCTATCATCCACCTCCTGCTTTCCATTTCTGTCTATAGCAGAGCTGCATCCGGCAAACACTTTGAGACACGTTCTGTGGTTACTAATTACTTGGGCTGATTTACTTAGTTAAATGTTCCAGCACAATTAAGTCCTTTCTTTTCCTATTGTATCTGCCTCATTATTAGTTATAAGGGTGACATTTATACTGTAAATGGGATGGAAAGCCTGAAAGGGAAACTCTGTAAGTGTAGGATGATTGTGCAAGGGATGAATAACTACTGAACTGTTTAGGCTAATTATAATGTATGAATATGGATTCAAAGGTTTTGTTTGTATTATCTTCAAAATATTTTTGAGAAATGGTTTCAAGATTATAGATCTACCCACAAGTGTGTTAAAATACGTGTGCATATGTCTACAGGGATAATAAGCAGCACATAATGTGAAATATGCTTCTGTGTAATAATACTTATTAAAAATGTCTAAATAAGCATAAAGGATTATTTTTCAAGGGAATGACATTTTAGAAGCAAACAATAATAAGCAGGAAATAGTGAAAATGCCTTTCAGGGATTATACTTTGACAAAGTTGTTGGCTATCCTAAAATAAGAAATCGAGTAAAATCAGCCAGACTTGTATATTTTGAAAGCTCACATATTTATAAATGACTTGTAAATATGTGTGGGCAGATTCTTTTTCTAAACTGGTGTCTCTCTCTCTCTCCCTACCGATTACCAGAAGATAAAAGTGGTATTTAGATATTCAGTTGGAGGAATCTGCCCCCTAATTTCCCCCTTTTCCCCCTAAAAAAAAAAGAAAAAACCCCCAAGTTTTAGGTAGTTATGGAGTGCCCAGATATTAAAATAGTGTACCTTGTGAGTACATAGATATGTTTTAAATGAAGAAAAAACATCTTAGTTCCTAGCTCACCCCTTTGTCAGATGCCAAATCTTTGCAACTAAATCTTTTGTTTTATTTTCTCCACACTTGACTTTTTCTTAGGGCCCCCCTCATCACCACATGAGTTGACTTCACAGAACAAGATGTTATCTATAAGCAGCCATTCAGGAAAATTGCTGCAGAGAAGCATCTTGTTTGTGTATTTGTTTGTTTATAGCATCTTATGACTTCTGGAACTAGTTCCATGGGCAGTTGTCAAGCATTTACCTGTGTATTTCAAGAGTATAGGAGTAGAAGGTTGCCAGAAACTTACTTTTCCATGTTCTCAGAGATTTCCTATATCATTTAGAACAGGTCTGTTAACCTTCTCATCTCACACTGTTTAGGATGGAGATATTGTTGAAAAAGTGAGGATGCACACTAATAGTTTGTAATGCTATACATTAACAGTTTTGATCAGATTCATATTTGGTTCTGGAATTTTACAATCATGTTTTAGAGTTAGATGTATAGGTTCCTTCATCACATGTTGTATTGCCATGATACTAAATGTAAGAAGGAAAGAACTCTTGGGCTTGGCAGTGAAAGGTTTTGTAGAGGAAGAGAGACTCTCAATATGATTGAAGATGGAAAAGGAAACATAAACTAGAATAATTAGTGTTGAAAATAATACTATATTTTTCCAGTAAATAATTATATTTCTTTGATATGTCTTTCTAATAATATTTTTCATGTTAGAAAATTTTCAGCTCTAATATTATTCTTGTTGTTGAGATGTTTGCTGTTGGAATATACTTCACTGAATCCATAGAAGTAGAAAAAGCAAAAACATCGTAAGACACCATCTGGTAAACACTATAAAAAGAGAGGTAATATGCAAGTCAGTTTTGAAGATCTGCCTGTAGCTCAAATCAACTTAAAAGCAAGGGGCAACAAAAAGACTCCTTCTAGAGAAATGGGAGTTTTTAAATCAAGCTTTCATCTGGGGCACTTAAAATAATTAGTTCCATTAGCCAGTTGAAGTGGAGTTGGCAAACCTAAACAACGCAGGTTTATTTGTTGACCATTGATTGTTTAAAATAGAAGAAGGTTCTTGCCATTAAAATGCACTGATTTTTGCTTTGGAGAAAACTGCAGGATTACTGTATTCACCATAGATGACTGGTCTGCTTTCAAAGGAAGAACTCCAATTCCAAAGCAGTAAGAGGTTTTGGATGAGCACTTCAGAGGAAAGAAGCTACTATTGATCTGAGGAGTACTGTCGATTCAGGGATGAATAGGACAGACTAGTGAGACCTGACACAGAAGAGAATGTAGTAGAAATGTTACTTGCCTTATAAACCTGAAAAAGTCCTATCTGTTCCGTTTTTCATCTGACTTTTTTTTAAAGGTTGTCACCTCTTGTCTGAAATAGTTCCTTACTCTTGTCTCTAGAAATGTGAAAAAGGGTTAGACTAACTTGAAAAGAGGTCACAAATTGCATAAGCAAAACAAATTGCAGATTTTTGGAAAGTATGGGAGATATCACTATGGAATATACCTGGTGGTAAATGACTTATTTTCATAGTGCTAGATACTTGCATTTTGCCCTAAACTGGAATTATTCTTCCTTGAGTTTTCACTGTTTTTATTTCTGTAAAAAACCTTCTTGAACTATTTGTTCCATTATTCATTTTGGATCTTGTTTTTCTGGCAGCCATCACAGATGTTTTTCTGAAATTTTAGCTCTTGTTAATTCACTATAAAATTTGTGGTGGGATTAATTTCTCTCAGCTGACCCTTTAATGCTCTGGCAACACCTAATTCAACCTGCCATTCTATTAAATCTTTTCAGAATTTACTGAAATGGTCTCCATTTTTTTTTTATTGTAGGTTTCATATATACTGGAGAAGTTGTGCATCGAATGCTAACAGCTACTCAATATATTGCACCCTTAATGGCAAATTTTGACCCCAGTGTGTCAAGAAATTCAACAGTCAGATACTTTGATAATGGTATGTAGCAGTCCTTGATAAATAAATGTGTCTGTATCCCTTGGCTCTTCTTATTTTCCTAAATAACTATTTTTGAAAGAAACATCGAGGATTTTTAAAATATTTTTGGTTTTTGTTTTTAATTTAAAGGCTGTATAGAGCATGTGACTAAACATATATAAACAATTATGAGTTTAGAACACGGTAAAGATTCATTAATGCCTTTTCTTAATTGAGCAGATATTATCTGGATGCTGAAGTACATAAATTCAAACTAGCAATGTATTTTATCAGTTTTAAAATGGAAAATCTCTCTTATATAACAGTGTAAATTCCTGTTACTTCGAAGTATATATAGTGAATACCATCTGCCCACTACCTAAAATGAAAATAGCATTTGTGGAGTGCAATAGCAAGAATACACAGAAGCAGGGCAGGGATAAGGTTAATAAACCTGTCAATGACTAAGTGTTCATGGAGTCCCAGAATTGGAATCCAATACACTCATCTACACCACGAGCTCTCAACAGTTCCTTGTAAAAAAGATTGAAAGAGGAAAAGGCAAGCTGCAGTGCTGTACTTGAAACTCTGTGAGAAGTTTCAAAGCCCTTGAATGCGTGGATATTTTTCTCTTGAAGTCGGCTGTAATCAATATTTTAGAAACATAGCCTAAGTGGTTAAAAGGCATCTGGTGCTTTACCTCAGGCCTTTAGTGATCAACTGCAGTGGCAGTTAAAACTTAGAGAGTTTAGTGTCATGACTTAATATCATGAGATCCATGACTTCTAGATTGTCCTGGATACACCTGTGCTACTTTATGCATGTTTATTTATAGTGAATTTAAGCAAAAATTGACAGTAGGTTCAAAAACATTTTGTATTTCCAATGGTATTTTTTATTTGTTAGATCAGTTATAAAAATATATTTTACAATAATCATAGCCTTTCCTTACAATCCAGTCATTGCAATATTTTTGTTTAAAATCTAGTAAAATACTTAAATGAGAAAATCCTGCTTCTTCCATGAAGAATTTTGAAACAGAAGAAGATATAATTTTCACATTGTATATTATTTAACATTATGGCCAGAGATTTGTCATCTTTACTTAAAGAATCTGAGGATTCTGGAGATGTTATTCATTCTCATTATAGTCCTGACTTCCAGTCCTCACACCAGGTGTACCAGGCTGTATCACATGGCTTTCGTTATGAGGTTGAACAGTTCTTTGAGATTTTGGATTCCTCTTCATGTGTAATGCATCATCTTTTGAGCCCCATGGGCTTTAAAACAAAGAATTTTCTATCTTAACACAAGTAAAAAGGAACTGAGCAGATTGTACCTTCAGCACCTCACTTCTTACTCATCTGTGCTTTGTCCCCATGAGTAAGTGCTCTGCCATAAAGCAGCATCTGTAGTGGGAAAGCACAGAGTATGGGGATCCATCAAAGTCTCACTGATGGAGCTAACTGCAAAGAACTTAGGTACACACAAATCTACACAAAAGCCTCTGGAATGAGATGACAGTTTGGGTGGCAGCTGATTTCCATTTTAGCTTGGGGTTCTGAGGTGCACATAGATCTGAAGTACTCAGTGACTGACTAGAGGAAATTCTGGCTAATTTTTCTTTAATAACTTTAGAAGCTAATTTACATTTAAAATAAAATTTTATGCAACCAAATAAATATTCAGGAAGTAGTTAATGAATGTGGTCACAAAGGAAAAAATGCACTGTGTGCACAATTAATGAGAATCTTCTTTATAGAAAGACACAAGGGGCAGTAATGTGTTGGACTTGGTGGACCCAAAATTTGCATGCTCATAGCTTCATGACAACCCTTGCCCAGATTTTCATGACAGTTGCAGCACAGATCCATAACAAAAGATTTTTCAGGGATATATCAAAAATATATTGAGCTGAATATGTACAGACCCATCATGAGCATTATAGGATGAAAGGAAATGAAAGTCTTAATCAAAGTACACAACTCTCATTACTGCCAAAAAGAGAAGTTTTTGAGGAAGCCATGTAAAGATGAAAATGTTCTTTTCAGTAAACACAGTTTTGGTGATAAGTGTCTCAACATCTGTAAAACTCGCTCACAGGGTATGCAAGTTGCTTGAGAAATATTTTTAGTGCGATAAGTGCATCTTCAGCCAGTGAACTCTTGTGAATATTAAAAAGGCTCTTGCAACTAAATGTCTGCATAAAAGACTCAATATTTACCCTGTCTATTAAGTCTCAGTGAGTTTGATTTAAAGTACATTTATTTATTGCCAACACCTAACATTTTTCAATTTGCAGAACCTCAGCAAGGGCTTGCACCATGTAGGAAAAAAAAAGTTATTTAATTAATGCATAGTTAATGAAACATCTGAATTCTCGAAATAACTTTTGCTAAGCAGGGAACACTATTAGCACTTCACATTTCAAAGTCATCAGGATTTATGTATAGAGTGTAAAAAATGCCACTGCAGAAAAGTGGTAATGGCAGCACACCTGAACTCCTGAACTACTGGATCCTACCTTTAGTTGTTGTTGATTTCTTGTGCAATTTCAAACAAGTTACTTGACCACTCTTGCTTTAGCAATAGTTGAGGTGCTCGTGTGGCACTGGGATGTCTGCAGTTAAGAGGATTTCAGTCCAACTTGTGTTTGTAATATCTTTGGCATTTCAAGGCGTGGAGCTGCAAGTTGCTAAAAAGACACAAATCACTGTTCTTGTTTCAAGTGAAGTACTTTTCTTACAGTCAGTTAATATATTTCTCATATCTTTTTCTTCTTTTTGCCTCTCTACCCCCACTCTGGGGTTCACAGGCACAGCACTAGTTGTCCAGTGGGACCATGTACATCTGCAGGATAATTACAACCTGGGGAGTTTCACTTTTCAGGCCACACTTCTCAGTGATGGGCGTATCATTTTCGGCTACAAAGAAGTAAGTTGGGTCTGAGAATTGACATTTAAGTGGAAAAAATACTTTATATGTCAGGAATTTCCCTACATTTTTGGGGGGAAGGGAAGATATTTGAAAGATCACTTATATAAGATAATTTCATTATACTGCTTATAAGATCACTATTTTGATGAAAATGATATATTATTATTAAAGTGATGTTCATATAATTGACTTTAAAAACATCAACATGAAACAAACGTTCTAATTCTGGATTTCAACTGGCCTTTTTGGATGCCTGTGAGTGTTAGGTAAATTCCTGGGGTTTTAGTACATTTCCCTTGGGTTTTGAAAGATAGGATCTAATTTTTTCAGTTAGTTTACCCAATTTTGACCTGTTTAAAAATACTCTAGAATCAATGGTTATTATTAAAAGGTCACCTATTTCCTGCAGCTGTAGTTCTTTGGCAACTCACATATTTCTAAGTTCATATATTTGAAACAAGAAATAGCTGGTTTGTATTGCTAGCTCTGAGGTTTTCCATCTGTTTGGTGATAAAATTGCTTAGATTGAGGCCATTTGGTTTGCCTTCATAGCACCAATATGTTGTCTTAAATGGGCTCTTGTGCATTCCCCAAATGTTCCAGAATTCCAGTTGTTGCTTTGAGTGATTTTTTTTTCCTAGAGCAGCTAGAGCTCTGGAAGCTATAGCCTATTTGAATTTCAGTGCTTTTGCCAAGAGAGGCTGGAGCAGGTGATCCTTGAGGTCCTTTCAGTCTGGTACTCTATTGATTCTCTGATTCATGCAAATAAGAATCAGAAAGTAGACAAGCTTAAATCTCTAGGAACAAAATAATTTCTTCTTTTTTGTTTGTTTTTGGTTTTGCTTGGTTTGGGATTTTTGTTCTGTTTCGTTTTGTTATTTTAATCTGTTTGGCATGCAAACTGTGATTTTCTGTTCAAAATGCAACTCTCAGTTATCCTCCTTGTGATAAGAAACTAATCAGTGATACAACCGACTGTCCAGACTTGGAGAAATCTCTTTTCTCTTCTGTCTCTGCTATAAAACACTTGTGAGCCTTCAGGCTCATTTTTCGTGCCTGTGTTGTAGCTGTGCACCTTTAATGAAGCAGAAATAATAATACTCTCTGCTGTTCACTAGAAAACCAGACAGGATCTGGGTTTTCTACTAGCAGAAGTCATACCTTCACTTAAGACAGATGTCTTTGCAGCTTGGAAAAGGATTGCTGCAAAATGTTCTTACTGGATCAGTATTGTAGAAACAAGAAGATTCTGGTATGCCCGTGTACATGGCTTTCCTTTTCTTATAAAAGACAGGCTGATGCAAGGTCTGCTTGGGTTTTTTTCTGAATGTTAGGTGAAGGTTACAGTCTTCGTCTATGAAAATGCAATTTATTTCCATTTTGAATCTGACTTCATGTAGGCTTTACTCTGCTTAGGACAATGGAGCTCCATTGTACTTGCTCAAAGGAGGGTGCACTAAAAGCTTTGGTTATCTCCTGCTGTTGAAAACTTTTTAAAGAAAAGCAAAAACTTCTAAAGACTGCAGAAAATTTCCTGCCTTCAAGACCTAGAGAGGTAGGGACAGATACTAGTTTTAAGATAAATTTGTCAAGAGCTATATATGCATTCTGACATTAAGATGGTGACATTTTCAAGAGATTTCTATTCCTGGTTATCAGATGCACTGACCTCTCTGTTACTATCCAGCCCTGTGCAAAATGGATCTAATATGGGTGATGGAAGTTGCTGCTCTAAATTGAAACTATCTCACATACATTTTACACAAAAGAAAATGATGATGCAGTGTGTCAGGTAGTAGGAAACATTCATTTAGGAAAACAGGAGTAAATGGGCCACTCCTTTACCATCAGTTCCTAGAACTGCAGGGGAATATGGCATCTCATCCATGGATAAACAATTTCTGAGCTACAATGCACAGGCTACAATGCACAGGCTGCTTGCTCTCATTACACTACTGGAAGCTTCCTCCAAAACCACATTGCTTTTGTGGGTAGGAGTTATTAATGTTCTTTTCATTAATCTTGAGACAGAAAACTGGAATTTGCAAATGGAATAATGTCCTTTTTGCTAGTGCTGAATCTTTGAACTCATCCCCTCGCATAAGTTATTCCTGTCCTGAATGGAATTACCAAACATTACTTTAAAGCTGTTACACATAACTAAGGAAAGAGATTTTTTAAAGTGGTGATAGCAATTATCTGTAATCTATTGACAAAAGATTTTTCTAAATATTTGAGAAAGTTACAATTAGTATATTCCATCAGAATTACTTGGGGAATTGGTTTTGAAGCTGAGCTTTCCAGAACTACACTCTTTATTTGCAGCCTTTACTCCATTATCACTACCTCAGCTTTTCACTTAAATGAGGAAAATTAAATAAAATTGCCAATCACTGCTCAGACACAAGTTGTCTGAAAAGAACAAACATGTCACTTATCATTTTAAACTTGGTCCTAGTGCTTATAAGCTTGGCTAGGAATTTCTTTACTTTCCAGTGCTGAATCCACTACTTTCCGAGGAAGTCCCTCTGTCTGGAGCCATTTCTCTTGCTGCTGAGTCATGTTGTCAGGTGCCCCATTAACTCCAGTCAGATTACTTGTGTAAGTGCTCACTAGCATGACTAAAAGTTGCACAAGATTTCTACTGTCTTCTTGGTGCCATTTTATTTCAGTTCACGTTTCATCAGAAATGACAGTGAGGTATGGCAAGTCTGAGAGGTCTTCATGGCATTGTCAGTGAAAGTCTCCAAGCTGAAGCACCCTGTGAGAAATACAGGGAGCAGGTTGCCAGTAGCTCCATCAAGCATCCCACAGGAGCTCTGTATAAGTGGCACCAGACATTTACCTAGAAGAGTCTACCTTTAAAATAACTGTGATTATACATTTAAAGCAGACACAACTAGGGTCTTTTATGTCTAATGGACTTCAGGTAAATTTTACCTTTTATTTCTTATTTATTCAATCAGTTTGAGAGTCCGTTTTTTAACATTCTTCCTGCTCCCAAATGAGGTTTGCTACCTTATAAACCTCGTGTTGGCCACCAAGACAGGAACTTGGCAGAGGTTTGCTGAATACCAAAGGAGTTTCTCTTCCCAATCTACTGCATTCTGTTGTTTTCCCCAATAGAAAGCAACCTGAAATTTACAATTTTTATCCAAAATTTAAGAAAGAAAATTAGAAAAGGAGCAGAACCATCAGAAAATACAAATATGGAGATGTCAGAATATCTTTCAGAAGAGTTAATTGTTAGGAGAAGGAGCTGTACAGTCAGGTTTTCAAAATGTGAAAATAATTTGATATATAACAAGGTCCTATAGAAAGTAAAATATTTATTTCTTTAGCAATTTACTTTGTTTACAGTGCACGCACCTTCCATTTTAAATATCACTTTGCTTGCACCAGCTCAGTATTCTGGCAAAGGGTCGATGTCAGGAAACATCAGCTGGCATGAAAATTTTACTGATGTACCTCTACTGTATATGAAATGCATTACAGTGCAAACTAGCCAGCAGAACACAGGAAAAAAAGAAGAATTTTGGCAAAGGCATACTTTTTATGTATTAGTAGTGAATACTCATTTCTTATGTTCTAAATTTCCCTGAAGTTCAATTCTCAAGAGTTTCCTTCTTATTAAACAAAATAGCTATTCTATATAGTCTTTTCCCATTAATGCTTAGAGCTAATGTTCCTTAGTGTAATATTTGGTTTCTTCTTTTGTCCATGATTAATACAGAACAAATTAGGCAGAGATTCCATGGGCCTTGTTAATTGTTTAGGATATTTTTCTTAATATCACTGGAGAAGGCTTTCTATGCTCATTGAAATAGTGATGACTTTCTATTTATGTAGTCATCCAGAAACCATTATTAAAGTTAAAATATTTGCTCGAATTTGCCTAATATGTGAGTTTGGAAAATAATTCTAAAAGAGGCTTTTAGTAGAATTAATTTCTATTCTAAAAAGAAGACAGAATTCAGTGAAAACTATTAAGTGCTAGAACTTAAATAAAATTGATGCCCCTGCTAGGTGTGAAGGAAAATACTCTGTTTTCAGTAACAAGAATTCATACCTTGCTATTGTTTCCTGAAAACTTAAAAAAATTAAAAAAAAATTTAAAATCCCATAATATGAATGGGGATTCTCCCTGCCTTATACATGCTTGACATTTCTTTTCCTCTTTTATTGTTATCAAAAATATAGAAATGATCTTTGATTTTTGAGGTGGTCAGTTTACACAAATTCAAACTTCTGATTTATATGCAGTTTAGCCTGTGGACTAATTAATTACTACTTAGGAAACTAGCAATAAACACCCTATATAAACACAATTATTGTGTTCCTAATTATTATTTCTCAATATACTCTGGCTCTTATTTTTGACTCAGTTTTGAAGTGGTGCTGTAATTGTATCCTGCTTACCACCTCCTTCAGAATAAGGTTAGAGGCCATGATTTTATCCTTTTTTGAAGAATAAGATTCTGATATCACCTCACAGTTTAAAAAAATAAAATTTGAGAAGTCTGATGAAAAATACTGAAATCTAGATTACAGATCCAAATGATACATAGAATTCAGCATAAATTCTAAATGCCCTTTTCCTTACTGTTGAAGTATATAATCAAAAATATAAACATTAATGGCCTCAGTACTAGTGTGGGAAGTTTATTCATGAACTTGTGCTTGACTTGTACAACACAAAAGATCACATTGTCTTTGGTAGAGCTAACAGATGGTTTGGAATTATTCTAGCTAAAAGCCATTCTATGAAGTTAATGCTGGAAAATCCTTGCCAGCCATTAGCAATCACTTGCATGTCCCTAGCTCTCTGCTCAACTATTTAACATGTCAGCCTGTTATGACATGTCTTGCCATTCAGGTGAGAAATCCAGAGCAGCAGCTCTGCTTGCTATCTATGTTTTACTGTAATTTTCCATAAATTATTTTAATATTTACTACAAGCTTTCTGTCAAAAGGGAACATTTCCTAATCAGACAGCATATGGTAAAAGCTTGTTTTATCTTGACATCTCATGCAAAAGATTTCACCTGATATATGGCACTCAGTACACACATTATCAATTTCTTTTTCCACACCTTGAAAATTAATATATGTTCTTGTAAATACAGATATAATGACACTGTAGTTTTTCAGGAGAGTAAGAGTATTCTTTATAAGAGGGTTGTGGATTGCCTTCTACTTTTACTGTATTTCTCACTATGATTGTTTCATACAGGCTGCCCTTCAGTTTGAAGAGCTGACTATACTAATTTAATTTTTTTTTGATCTTACAGAAGCTCTTGCTTTTAAGCCCTAAGTTGTATCCAAACTTTTGGCTGCTACTGGACCCTAATACTTTCTTATTTGTTTTAAAAAAGATTTTAAAAGTTCCTTGCTCTCAGTAGAACTCCCAGCACTGGATTCATACCTGCAGGGATTTTGGCAAAATCCATTGTTACTTCTGCTTCAGATTTTTCTGATTTCTCCTGAAGTTTTTCTGTATATTTTCTGTTCAACTTGGCTACTGCATCCTATTTTAGTACCACATATAACTGAGTAATTCATAATTTTATTAACTTTCAAGGTCTAAACCAGGTTGTAATGAAAATGAATGTATTTTTAAAAACATACAAACAAATAAAATAAACCAAACCTCTCACTTGTGACATTAGTACCACAAGAACTCATCACACCTTCCCAGAAACAAAACCAAACCAAACCAAACCAAACAAAAAATGAAATAGTTTGCTATTTTCATAATTCTTGAGGGAAGATACAAATTGTTCAGTAATTCAAAAATTCACAATAAACATGTGAAAAGGTACTAGACTAAAAAGAAAGAAAAGAAAGGAGTCTTATTCAAGAAGACCAGAGTGCATCTTCTCCTGATTTACATTCACACGATACAACTGAGTATAAATCCTTTTCATGCATCAGACAATTTATGCATTAAGATGACAATATTGCCAGCATATTTTGTCACACACCTACTAATGCCAATTCCAAATACACTTTGTGTCCTTTCTTCATCTGCTGTGTTTTCTCTCTAAGGAAACTTTGAAGAGAAAGTCATTGCATCCTCCTCATCAGTGCTTTTTCTAACTTAACTTTCAGTAGGTTGTCTAGAGTATTCTCCTCAAAATCCTTTAAGACAGTTTCTGTGATAGTTAATGTAAGCTTTTCTTTCCAATATTCTGAGACTATGAATAATTCCCTTATTTTGTTTAAGCTTTCATGCTACAGAAAATTTACAGACTTATTTCTGAACTTAGTGAGTCTTTTATTTTGAAGAATTTGAAAATATGGCTTTTGGCCTTCTTCTGTCATATTATCCAATAACTGCATCAGAGCTCAGCTGATATAAGCCAAATTTAAGCTGATATATTGCTAGCAGTATTTCTAAGCCAGTTCTCTTTTTCCTGTCGTTTTGACAACATGCAACAAGCCTATTTTATAACACACCAGATCTTCTATGTAAGAACCCCAAAAAAGACAGTCATTAAATTAAATAAAAGGAATGGAAATTTATGACATTGTTTAATTCACCAGAACTTTTTTACCAGTGTAATTGGGAAAAAAACAAAACTAAAAGGTATTTTGGGAAGAAGCAGAACTACTGATGCTTAACTCAAATGCCAGAAATCGTGCTATTAATTGTCACAAGGACAGAACTGAATCCTCAGTCACTGGATTAATAACCAGGTTTTTACTTCAGCACTTTTCTGCTATGTGAAAAACACTGGCTAACTATATAATTTTTGTAGTTTAACACAAGTAAAGCCAGAGCAAGCTATTGGGTTAGTTAAACTAATACCTTGTATCTCAGTTTCTTACACTTGATCCAGTTCCATCTGTCTTCAGCTTAGAAATTTCTGGTTAATTATAGGTCAGCTTTGAAAAATAAGTTATCCAAATATAAGATATCTGAAAGCAGCAACTGGCAGGAAGTCATAATTGCTCATAGAAAGCTGTAGCTTATTCTACTCCTATGGTACCTGTCTGAAGTTTCCAACTTCTGGTTATATCTTTCTGTTCTAGAATAAAAGATTCTTTAGCCCCTGAATAATTTCTGCCTGTCATTGTACTTGTTTGTGGTAATCTAACCAGCTTTTCAGTATTTCACCCAGAAGTCAAATGGATAGAACACTTTAACACTTTTATTAATGGTATATGAGAACTGGAGAAGTTTACAAACTGTTTTTATGATACTTTTAATCTTCCTTCTCTTAATTTTTGGCATCTTTTTGAGAAATATATCCCTTCAAAGTGTGTGGGATATATCACCAATATAATCTAATCTAATTTTCAGGTGCAAGTAAAATGGTCACTCCACATCTAGGGTATATTTCACTGTTTGTGTAACCAAATATCATATCAATTAGGTTTCCTTGCTGAGATGTCCCCTCTGACTGCTGGAGTTCATCCACTACAATACTGAGATTCCTTCCAGAACTGCTGCTTTCTACACCATGGTCCTCAACTCTACCTAGCACTCTTTTTTGTCTGTATTATATCTTCGTATTTTTGCAATGTCTAGCCTTGCTAATTGATCCAGGCATTTCATTATTTTCACTCTGCTAGTGCCATCTGGAGAACTGCTAGGCAGTAAATTTATGTTTCCTTCTTAGTGTTGGATAGAACTTTTGAATGCTGTAATGACAAACTGTCAGTCTGAGCTGCTCCTTTAGTGATGGCTGCTTTTTCTGATCAGTCTATCTAGTTAACTATATTAATATTGCAGAAATGTTACATGTCACTAAATCAAATATCTTAAAAAATTTCAGTCCTATTATATCTATACAAGTATCAGCCAAAGCTGCAATCTTGTCCCAAGAATGGAATCAAACCTGACATTTGTTTTCATGCAACCATTTTACCCAGTGTCAATAGCTCTGTAAGGTAAAGCTGGAATGGTCTATGACCATATACATATTTTTATTTCTTCCTCTAGATATTGGCAATTGAGCATCTGGAATTTTCCATGTTTACCACAACACAGTGTTCCTGCTATTCGAGAACATATTAAATGTTATTATCATTCTGTCAGAGCTCTTTACAGATAACAATTCACACAGTTTTCAGTGCAAGTTAACTGAGCCATAAGCTTTAAAATGTTTATCCCAAGCTTAACATTCACAGTTTCTGTGTTCAGCAGTAGACAGGAGGTATTGCCTCCTCATCCTTGAGTGTACTAGCACGTCATCCCACTTTTTCTTCAATTGAGGGAAATAAATTACTGGAAATTACTACTCTTTTCTGCTTTGTCACTGAATCCTACCTCTAAAGGTTCATGTGAAAACAATGCAAAGAAAACTGAGATAAAACACAAATTAAAACTAGTAATTTCTAGCTTCAAAAAATTCTTGATTCTATCATGTTATATTGTATAAAATATTTATTTAGGTTTTTTAAGTTACACTGGTTAAGTGTTCATTTTGGCAATGCTTTTTATTTTTAGTCTTTTTTTCAAGTTCAATATTTCAATAATATCTTCCTGTTTTGTCTTTTAGATTCCTGTCGCTGTGACACAGATAAGTTCAACCAACCACCCGGTGAAAGTGGGACTTTCAGATGCATTTGTGGTCGTGCACAGGATCCAGCAAATTCCCAGTATGTAGAATTATAGTGGTGCTAATGGTTTGGAGGCTGAGAAATTAGAATAAGCTGATTTCATCAAGGATGATTAGCTGCACAACAAATCACTTAGCTAATTTCAGCTTGTTAATTCAAGTGTAATTTTATTTGCTTGATAATTCCCAATATGGCTTTTCCTGTCATTGTTTCTTTTGAGCTGATAAATTAAGTAAATAAAATTAAATGGCCAGTCAAATAATGTCAAATTAAACTCTCAACTGGCTCAATTTGGTTTTCCATAAGATACTTTATCTGAAACATGCTTTCATATCCATAGTAAAGAAGAAGCAATCTGTTCAGAAAAACCATCTGTATCTAAAAATATCCAGGCTAGAAGCCCTTGATACTTTATTCTGTGCTTCAAATACATGTACACATTTTAGTGAAAGAAGAGGAGATGTACTTATTAAAAAACGTCCTGAGCTCACACAGTCAAGGCAGCGGTATTGCAGGTGACATTCAGTTTTGTCTGACTTTAGTCATACTTTGTATGACTTCGCTGAAACAAATAGTAGGAAATCAAGTGTGACTTTCTCAGTGCTTTAATGTACTGTGTACAGAACCTTGTGAGGCTGTTTAGCCATTAGAGAATATGTTCACTCTTCAAATGTACTGGGTTTACTTACATATTTGGAGAAAATTGACTAAGATCGGTTTTCAGTGAAGGAAGGAGCTGTGCTTGAACCAGCCTCCTAGGTGTGAGTCCAGGTGTCTTCTCCTAAAGAACTCTGGCACATCTGAGGTGCTCACAAGGACTGACCTGACCCAGCCCAGCTTTAAGACAGACAGCAGATGGGGCTGGCACTGAAAAAGAAGGGCTATTGGCCTCTCTGCTCACCCCATCTCCTCGTCACATATACAACAGTCTTTAACATGAGAGAGCATCAGTCCTATGTCTTACATGTCCTGTCAGGGGGAATATGGAAAATTTCAGTACTATTTGTCACTTGTGAGCTCAGAGGAGTGTGAAGGATGTTAGGGTGCTAAGATTTCACTTAAGAGAAAAGAAATTTGTTTCTGAAGTATGATCTGTAGTTGTGATGTGCCTATGTTTGCATGGACTGGTTTTGAGTGTTTAAGAACAAATGAAACTAGGCAAAAAATTCAGTAATGTGAGTGATATTTGCAAGCAAATAATCTGAATATTTCTGACTCTTCAGCTTGTAATAGCTCCAAATATGGATTCAGGGAGAAATTAGCTTGATTGACTTATGCAAATAGTTTATGAGAATAGTCACAGAGAAATTCTGTCCAAGAGATGCAGCAGGATATCTTTTGACATCAGGCCTTCATAATCAAACAACACTAAAGGACTTGTATTACATTTACATATTTTGTATGGAAAATATATGGTAGATGTGAGTCTTTATTCAAGTCTGAATGTTTATTTTTGTAGAAATATTTCAGACAAGCACCTTGTTTTTCTACCACTAAATAATACTGGTTTTGATGAATGCAGAGTTATTTACTAGTCTTCCGGTTTTAGCATATCTTTTTTTTTTTTCATGTGACACTTTCTGCAAACAGAAGTGAGACTATAATGTGGGTAAGGAGCATAAAATGTGCCACTGCTGCAGCAGTTTTGAGAGCATTATTAATGTATTGCTGTTTACAATGCATTGCTTTTGCCCTTAACTACTGGTTCTGTGGACGGTGGTAATTCATGATTATTTTTACTAGATTGCAGCTTACACTAGAGCTAATATTAATCAAGGGAACCATCATTTCACTGTAGATTTTCCTGAAGCTGAATTGTGTGCTCAATGAAATAGGTTTATATTGATGTATACAGGCAATATAAATAGCACCTTGACAGAACAGGTAAATAATGTCAGCCCATAGAAAGCCAGTATCAGACGCTCTTAAAATATGCAGGTTCTTGAATTCATGTTTTTCAGAGGTATTAAATCAAGTATGGCTCTAGTCAATTACTGAAAAAGTGATCGGATAGAATTGTTATTTTACTTTATTTGTTAGCTTCTTAAGACAATGGAAGAACATAAATTGTTGTTTGTCCCAAAAGAAGGCAAAGAATTATAACTACTATTTCTGCATTACCACTTTATCAAAGATTTTTCCATCGAAGTAACCCAGTCTCTGTTTATGTTCATGGCCAGTTATTAAAAAAGAAAAAAAGCCAAAAACATCCCCGTCAAATAATACAAAAAACCACCCCAAACTCTACTGCTTCATGTTTGAGCTCTGTCAGTTCTTTTTCTATATATTGTGCATTTGAAAAGGAAAGAGACACTAAGTGCAACACAAGCATCTTTGAAGAAATATATCCCCTCAATTTTTATAAATGCTGAATATCTTTGGTGCCTTCTGTGTGCTCAGTATTCTAAAATTTCAGTATAGCAGACCTAGTTCATTAAAGTAATTTCAGAAGATTTAGAGCTAACTGTTTATCAGATTGTTGTCAGATGTACTGTCCAAAAGATCGGTAATAACTTTTTCAATATTTCTGAAAGGTGAGTTCAAAAGCCAGGCAAACCTATTTCGTTCTGAGGAGAGCAAAACATGCTTTTTGATCAGCAATTTCATTTCAAAAGTGCATTTTAATGAGTGCTGAAAAGTATCCTCTTGAAGAGCCAAGAGCTAAAAGGAATGATTTTCTGAACTTTTTTAAGTGAAGGAACTTGAGAATATCATTTTTATTAATATACTTCTTCATATAAAGCCTTTTCAATAATACCCCTTTTATCTGCCCCTAAAAGCATACAGGCACATACACTTGTTCACCTTCTCTTTTAAGAGTTAAAACATGAAGATGGGAGATTTTTGGCAGGTGGCTTTATGCCTGGGGTTTTTTTGATATATTTCCTTGATCTGCTACTCCTTCTTGCTTGTAGACCATGTCTTTATTTTCCACTTATAATTATAGTATTGCAGATTAGCCACTATTTTATATTTCATATCTAGATACAGATATGCCTGTATATACTCTAGAGGTATTTTGGAATGAATGGTAATGTGTCAAGGGAAGTAAATTTCTGATCGACACCAAGGTTAACCTGATAATTCTGGGATTTATATGACAGCAAAATGGCAAACTAAGTCCTTTGATTCATTTCAGAGGAAAAGTTGTAGCTCTTTCCAGGTATTTCAAATGAAGTCCCAGGATCTGGAACTCTGCTTCTGATGTCTAAGTTAGAGTGACCATCCTGATTCTTCTTTTTCAGACAGGTTGAACCCTTGCACACTAACTATTTTTCTTTTTGTAACAAACACAGTGAGAAAGTTTCATGGATGTCTTCCAGCTAGAAATGCAATTGGTGATGACAAAGCTGGGAGCTTTACATATTCCTCCAGCAAGTCATTTTTAAGCACCTTCACTGCTTCAGAACGTTTGTTCCTTGCCCATCTTCTCTATCCCATTCCCTTTAATTTCTTGTTTATTTCTCTGCCATCCTTGTAATTATCTTCTTGGTCCTTCTTTCACTTGCCTGTGGTGTCCTTTGCTCTCCCTGTTGCAGACTCCCAAGAGCTCTCTTTAACTTCATAACCATCTTTCTTCCCCTCCCTTTTCCTCTCCTCCAGGGTTATTGTTTTTCTCTCCTTTGTTTCCCTGCTCTTCCCTATTGTCTTTCAATTAGCTTTTTGTTGTGCAAGAAAAGAAAAAGCATTTCTTTCAACTCACTTTTGTATTTTAGCAATAAAAACCCCATCACAGAGCCTTCCCATATTGTGTTTGTTTTCCACAAAACCATGAAATACACTGGTAAAATGAGAGAGTGCCAGATTCAGGGGATCTACACAGTGAATTACCAGTCTTGCCCTAAGATGTAATGGGTAGTAGGTTTTTCTCCACAATGAGACATAATTCTCTGTGGTTTTGGCCTCTACTGTACTAGATGCAACTCTTTTAGGAAATCCATGCCTTGACAACTTAACATTTAATCACACTGAAATTATTCAACAACACCGTGTACAGAAATGAAATTGTCACTGAGCTATGTGTTAGTAATATTCCAGATTCAGTGCAATTAGTGTCACTCAATATGTAGTGTAACTCAAGCATATAATTAAGTGACAACTCTGCATGTTGTAAATGTTTGCTCACGATGTCTCACCACTTTGTTTACAGCAGTGAAGCCCCTGAAAGAACCTCAGGATTACCTTCCTGAAGGCTAAAAGACCACTGGCCATTTATGGTCTCATATCTTATATAAAGGTGCAGCACCACTTGGGAAATCACAAAGTCTGATTTCCTGCTGCTTTACTGTCAGTGTTATCATTTACCTCTGTGCAAAATGGACCACAAAGTTGTCACTCTAAAATCGTGGTATTTATTCTTCTTTACACTGATGTAACTAATCCCACAGAGCCAGATACTGCAGCCATGCATGTTTGTCTGCTGGTCCTGGCAGCTGGGTTCCTTGCACTAGATGTCTGATTCAGGAGCAAGATGTTGATCTTTTGTAGCATGACAATACTCCCAGGACTGGGACAAGTTGATCAAAATTTAAAATATTCTCATAACCAGCCACAGACAGATCTCAGAGTGACGCCGTTTGGTGTGGGGTTAGGGAGTAAAGCAAGTTTTTCACACTAGGAGCTCTTTAGCTGGCAACAGGTATTGGGGCAAATCCTTCCAGACATGGAGAGTTTCAAAGTAAATCATGTATGGTAGGTACAGAACATTGGGGCAGAATAGCTCTTAGTACATTGTTCATAAAGGTATTTTCAGAGCCTACTTCACTGGTTCACTTGTTCACAGATTATACATCTTTGAGGTGCAGCTCCCAGGTTTAAAAGGATGTTTTTAGTGATTTTAAGAGAATTATAAAATTAATACAATTAGAGAATCTGAACTTTTATCTGGATTTAGATATGTGTTATATTCAGTGGAGCAATTGTGGAGGTGTTTCGATTACAGGCATTGGTGTTTGGTCCCAGTGTCAGTGCCTCAAGAATTAATTAGTTAATATTGATAATTTTAGCAATACAAAGCTGTTAAAGAACAGATGCTTTGACATTCTGATTCCTTTACCTTTTGTGGTGACAGCAATCAGATATACCAGGTTGACAGGTTTTATTCAGCCTGTGGTGTTAAATAAGGTCCCTGTCAAGCAAAGTCAGTGGCTGTATAACACAGCAGCTGTGCCCCTCCCTTCTCTGTGCCTTATATTTCCCACAAATTGCTTGCAGCTTTTTGGATATGTTTCACAAATTGTTTACTTCAAATTGACTTCTGCATAATCAAATGAACCCTCTTACCATTTGTGTTTTCTATATCAGCCAGCAAAACTAAAGTGAAGGTATAGCTGTATGAATACATATGGCCTTGTTAAAAGCTATTTCTGGGTATATGGCCCATTCAAATTCCCTAGAAATCTTTCACTGACAAGGGTCTTTATTTGTGTGAACATGTAATTTAAAAACTCAGAGTGGCTTCTCCAGTATTTTCACATTTCACTGTATTGCAGGTTTTAGCTGAGGAATGGTGCATAAGGAAAAGTGATTATGTAATTGAAAAGATACAGAGAGTTTATGCATCCCTCAGACACGTATTGAGAATGGTTTGTTATGAACTACTGACCCTTCAGACATGTTAAGAAATCATTGTTGCTCTCCTGGCACTGCTCCCTCTGCAGAGTGCTCTCCCCATCGAGTACATTCAGTCAACTCTGGCAGTTCTGTTTCATAGAATACTTACATTCCGTTATTTAGTTTAATACTACTGTGGTAAAACTACATAGAATTATTTTGTCACAGCAGAATCTTGCACATCTGTCATTTACCAATCCATTGAAAGGACTCTTTTCAAATGGCCTTCTGACCCCCATGTTATTTCTCTCAGTCCATGAGGAACGTGTTCTTACCTCAAGTACCTCGTGTTTTCTTCAGGTTTTTCTGCTGGGACTGTACCTTTGGCCTGTGTTCAAAGATAGCACAAGCACATGCCATGAAAACAAACCAAAAAACAATCTGAACCATACTGTAAATTAAACCAAGTTATATACTAGAAAATGTATTAAAAGCTGTACCGTTTAGTTTAAAAGTGTGTATGAGAAAACCAGACTTGTAGAAATTTAAAATATTTTCATGAGTAGGAGAAAAATATACACATATTTTCTGAAATTCAGAACTGGGAATGGTACTCCAAAAGCATACAAAAGTCCTTTTCTTTTCCTCCCTTCCCTGCTAGACCTGATGTAACATTTCTTTATAGAAAAATACATGCACATAATGCTTAAATATTTATGTTACTGCATCAAATTATTTCATTAGTTCTTGCCATGTCATTAGTTCTTGCCATGTTGGGGTCTGTACTGAGGTATTTGTGATTCTGAGCTCTTTGTGATCCTGCACTAGTACTTTTTTGTTAAAGAGCTAAATCGATATCATAAGGCTAAGAGCAAATTCCACCTGAGTGAAATGCAATGTCTGTCCTGGGTTGAAGCAGGAGAGTGTGTGAAGAGGTTAGGGGGAAAGAGTGAGGGAAGAGTACTCATTTTCCTCTTTATTCTGTTGAGTTTAGTTTTTTTAACCAATTCTGTTTAGGGAAACTGGCTCAAAATTCAAAATAGGGAGAGAAAAGTGCATTTTAAAGATCTAAGCATGGCATGTTTAAGTCATACTTTCAAAGTAATCTAGGGCTGCATGTTTTTCTAGCCTGGTCAGGCACATAAATTTGAATCCTCACGTTTCCAACCACCTGTCTGCAAGTGTATAGAAAGATGTTAGAAGGTGACCATACAAATACCTCTCTGTGCTTTCGTTTCTTACATTAGCTAGATACCCCATATGCAAACTCACCATCTGCAGCTGACACAGTCATCTTTCTGAAGAAAAAGATCAAATTTGAGTCTGTCAAGCAGTGGGATTTACTGGAATCAACAGCCATGCTGAAATATGCATGATTAGAATTTTTTATACACATAACACACTTAATTCTCTTAAAAGTAATGTTTTTCAGAAATTTCATGCACTGAGTGAGGTAAAAGTCCCTGTGTCCCAAATCTCTGATTCTTACTGAGTCTTTGGAAAGCCAGAAGCTCCTTATTTCTTGTAAGCTCTGTAAGGAGCCTGTTAGGAAAGGTTCAGCATTAACAGGATTATGGTATACTAGTCTGTACCAGGACTGATGAGGTGCAGTTCAAATAAAGTGCTTCAACACCTAGCATTTTAATTTTTGTATTCACTTGCCTTTTTTCCTTTTTTTTTTTTCTTTTTTTTTTTTTAAGGAATGTAAAATATTTTTGTGGAAACAAATTACAGCCTTTGGCATTAGCAAAAGCTCATTTCAAAGACATTTTTCAATCAATCTGACTGGGCTTTCAGGAGACTGATCATCCTGTGAGCATAAACCCCTTGCAGCTGGCAAGAGATTTTCCCTAACCTGGCATACAGTTACCTGGTCTTGAAAACTCTTTCTGTCCAGTGGGTCTGAAGGACATGGCTAAGGCATTTATTGGAGTGGCACCTGCCCATATCCATCTTTTGACTAGTCAGAATGACTTTGCAGGAAACACATTAACCTAGTTAAATTATAGGTTCATTTCATACTGAAAGAGAATCCTGCTATCAGAAGAGGTGAAGTCATAGCAAAGCTTCAAATAAATTGCAAGAAGTGGTTGGCAATGGTGCTGATTTGGAGCTAAATAGAAATATTATTTTTTGAAAGTGAGACACTGCCTACTTGTCCTGAGAGCTAATGAGGTAACAGAGGGCAGAAAAGCTGCTTCCTCAAGCAATAAGGTGTACCCTAATCCATACAGGACTGGCAACATAGGAGACCTCTAAAGACTGAGTTTTTGGCTGTCTACAAGTCCCTTTTCTTTTGTTACTTGTGGATTCAGACTGGTCATTGGCACGGGTAACTGGTTAGTCCTTTGTATGTAACCCTTAATTCCACTCTGGAATGATTGCAGAGGGTCAGAGATTGTATTTAGCTCTGATTTCAGTTAGTTTAGCAGATCTTCAAAAAAAAACATAAATATGAAACCAGCACACCAGAAAGCTGCCAATTTTGTGTCAGATTGGTGTTATAGGTTGCACTTTTAATTTTCAAATATACAAGCCTGCCAGTCTATATTGCAGCTATATGTATAAAATCTGTCATTTTCAGAAAACATTATAGGATATAGTTCTGGAAAGTAGTGTGTGATTTTTTCACGTTTATCTTGTGCTTGGGTCTTACAGTTGCTTGTGAGTTCAAAGCCCTTAAGAACAGTACATTGACTATATTGAATTTCTGCTTTGAGAAACTCAGGTGCAGTCAGCCTGTGTAAAGATTATGCATAAAAGCTGTTTAGGAAGATTGTCTTTTTTAATATAATGTTATAATATGAAAATATATTCTAGTATACTTAGATGTGAGCCATCTTGTAGCTAACAAATTTGATTAAGCAATGAAATCAGTTTTGTTTGCACATCTTGGCAAGAACTGACAAAGTGAGCATATAAAGCATTTCTCTCAAGTCTGTAAGCTGAGAAAAATGTCTTAGGAAAGCAAGCATTTGAAATAACCCCTAAAATGTTTGACAGTATACTCTCTAAATGTTCTGCCTAAATCAAAGACTAAGATGCTTGAGAGCATACTCAGCATTTTCATAATTCTTTGCCAGGAGAAGTACCTTTTCTGTCAGCTCTGAGGGTTTCTCCACTGAAAAATTCCCTATCTATCTTTATATGTTATTTTATGATATTCAAAGTTAAAAATATATTCTTGAGAAAAATTGTTGCCATATGTGCACCTAAGGAACAGTGTGCATTCATTACATCCACTATTTTTCACAATCTAAAGACTGTAAAACAAGAAAATATGATTTCTTTTTTTTTTCCTGTTAGATGTCCGCAGAAGAACAATTTATGAATACCACAGGGTGGAGCTACAGATGTCAAAGATTACCAATCTCTCAGCTGTTGAAATGATACCTCTTCCAAGTAAGTAAAACATTACATAAGCAGGAGCCAGATCTAGAAAGCATCTATCTCCCTCTCCCTCCCAACAACATATACACAATTTCAAATATTTTGTTTTATCTGTGGACTTGGAATCATAAACAGATTCATTTATCCTCTCCTAGATTCCCATATGTATGATGCATTTTCCAGTTCATCCTCATGTATCTTGAGTTAGTTTATAGGTGGATAGCTCCCAGTAGGTTTTGAATGAAATTTCTGCCAAATCATTTTTTCAGAGGAATGATTATATTGCCTTTAAATGCAGTTCCTCAAGAAAAAAGAAAAGAACAGTTTTCATGCTTGCAATGCAAACATGAATTCTTCTGTGTACTGTGCATCACATCACAAAGGCATATCCCTAAACAAATGGCTCCAAATATTTTGCAGCTCATCTGGCTCTTTTTTGCAAGGTAAAACTACATTGCTTAGAAATCTTGGGGTTTAAAATGCCAGCTGTACTACTCTAAAAAGAATAGAAGCATCTATTTTTCTTTTCTTTTTTTAAATCCAGTTATAGTTCTTGCACATTTTTCTCTCAGTCTTATTATCTGCTTATGTCTGAATGTTAGCAACACCAAAGAATAGTGGAGCCAGGGAAGAAAGAGATTTAAGGAAATACTTAATACTGAGCAACAAGATAAAAATTTAGGAATGAAGCTGAATAACAGATGTGGAAGTAGGAATACATTTACAAGTGGAATACAAATGGAATACCAGAGATGAAATGTACTTTTGTGTGTGCAATTGTGCAAAGCATTGTAATAGGCTGGGTTCAGGGTCTTACGTTAGACATGTGTGAACCTGTTGATTTCCTAAATATATATTATCAGAAGATATGTTCTTCTTTTGTGCTTATTATGTGAAATGTATGAGACTAATATAATAATTTGTGTTTATCTACATCCTAGCTTGTCTCCAGTTTACCAGCTGTGGTCCCTGTGTCACTGCCCAGATTGGTTTCAACTGCAGCTGGTGCAGCAAACTCCAAAGGTAGAGAAAATAATTTATTTTCTTTTTTTTTGCGTGTGTGGGTATGGAGCTGTGCTCAAAGGCTATCCAAAACTATTGCCTACACGTTATTCAGCATTAAAAGTTGTTATATTTGGGTTTATATATATGCATTCACATGAACATAAATCTCAAGTGTTATCACTAGCAACACATCATTCACATTTCACTTCAACTATTATAAAAGATTTGCCAAAACAGTTATCTCAGGAGTTAAGCCTTTGTTCTTATTTCTTCAGTCATACTTTAGAATTCTTTTGAAGTAAAAAAAGAAGAAGAGATCATAATAAAAATCATATTTTCTCCCTATATCATCAGCCTCATCAAAAATGATTTAACCCCATGGAGATGCAAGGTGTTAATGTAATTGTAAAAACTTCTTTGTTAACAGCAGGGAGACCAACTCAGCCAAGCAGTCAGAGCACTTTCCTTTTTAACCTGTCATTACACTTAGTGGGTGTGCTGGGTCTCCTCAGCCTCTCAGTGACACAAGACCAGGACAGTCAAGCCCATGGCAGGAGTGATTTAGACTGTGGAGCAGCTGAAGCACAGCCAGAAAAATGGAAGCTGCAACTGCAACTTTTCAAAAAGTTTTTCAGTCACTGACCTTCACTGACCTTTTTGACGAATTTAATGCCAATTCTCTGAAACAAGATGCAGTATTGTAATGGATATTTATTGTTGCTGTGCTCCTCAGCTCTAGTGATTAGGTTTAGAAATACTTTGTATGAAATGGGTGTATACTGAAAAAGAAAAGGTAATTAACATCTAAAATAGTGCAATATTTTGACACCATGTTGAAGAACTGGTAGGTAGCTGAAGAACTCAGCACAGAATTAGGAAATTGGAGGGTTTTTTATAATGTTTTCTTAAGCTGCAACTCTTGTAGTAACTCACTTAAAATTAACTCTGCTCCCTATTTGTCTTGCAAAAACCTTTTTAGTGGAATTAGAGCTAAGACAAATCAAGTAATAGAAAATATACCAAATATATTCAAGAGTTATAATGCTTCTAGGATACTGTTCCAAGCAAGCATGAACAGTTCTTTGTTGCCTTAGCAGATTCCTTTCTCTGAGCATTGCTTCATTCTCCTTCCATCAATAGATGCTGTAGCACCGAGTTTCTGCTGGCTTTGCTCTGAGCAAGACCTGTTGCTTTGTGGCCAGTGTTCTCTTTTTTGTTTGGATAAACTCAATCATATTGTAAGTTCCAGACCTTTTTTGAAGAACAGGCAAACCTTAAGGGTTTTGTTTTGCTTCTCTGAAATTTCTGAACAACTGAGTTTCCTGAGTTCTGAAATTACTGAAAAATCTGTTTTGCTCATTCAGGCACAAATTCACTTTGGAGAACTAAGTTCTATCCTTCACCTTTAGCAGGAGCAGAACCAGGCATGTAGCCACACTGTGTTTTGTTCTGCTCATTTAGGAGCATTTCTGGTTGTCCCCTCACAACTGACAAGTTGTAATTTACTGCTGAAAAATACACAGTCTGAACACATCTGTTTCTATTCAATTTAAGTTTTAATGAAGAAAACTTTGCTTTTTGTTTTGCATCTGGAGATCAAAGATGAGCCTACTGTGAGGTAGTCCTGCCCTGTTTCCAAAACCAGCTGTCTCCACTCTTGCAGCATGGTTGTGCTTTTGACAAGGTGCAGCAGGTAGACTGAGTAGTTTTATTGCTATTAATTAGGCCATTACTGATGGCAGTGAGACTGTCACATTATGCAGGTTGTCTTTGGACATTATTAGGCTACCAGCAAAAGCAGGAACTGGAGAGGTTTCCTTAGGAAAAGAAACTAAGAATATGTTTCTACATGGGAATTTCAGTAGTTAAAAAAAGTCATACCGTACAACTTTCATCTATCAAGATGAATAATATTCATTCAGGTTTTAGTAAATGGAGAATTGTGTATAGAGTCATAAAATAGCTCAGAATGGAAAAGGTCTTCTAGACTAACCTCCCACTCAAAGCAGGGCCAGCTGTGACATCGAACTGGTTTCTTTGTGACTTTGTCCATCCAGGACTTGACCACTTGGTCCAGTTCCCAGAACACCTTACACAGGATTTTACACCTAATCTGTTAGCTTGCTGTTTCCTCTGGAAACATGGCTTCAGGTCTCATCTTTCTTGGCCACTCTTATCCAGTTTCTGAAATGAGCAATTTCAACTATTTAATCTCCATGGAAAAGGAAATCTGAAATGATAAATGGTTAAATATTTTGTGAAAAGAGGCAACTTGCTTTCCAAAATGTGAAAACTGAATATTTATTTGGTTACACTGCAGGATTATTGTGATGAGGAATCATTCTGTCTCAGCTTTGAAAATTTTCTACATATTCTCACTGGACTTCTGTCTAGTGCCTCTCTTCTTTTACCTTGCACTTTCTCAGCATGTATATTCATTTTCAAGAGATACAAAATAAAAAATCTTATTCCATTTTCAGTGGCAATGTCTGGTTCAAAATCAAAATTATTCTCAGAATCATCTGTTTCAGTATCACATTGTGGGTTCATTCCCCTCAAAAATAAATTTGCTGTGTTAAAGCGTTCCTTTTGAATGCAATAAAGAAGCATTTCCTCAACAAGAAAATCTAATAGCATCTTAAAAATCATAAAGGATAGAAAGTTGTTAATTCCTGCCTCACAATCCTTCAGCTTTTTCTGTATGTCACTGCTCTTCACTCAGCAGCCTTGTAAATCAATGGAGACTTTTATCTCCTGTTATGATAACATTGCTCTGCTGCAGTAGGATAAAATCAGCCTGAAAAAACAAGGGCAAAGCATTCCATGAAGTATTAACTTAGACATTTCAGAAGTGCCTAGAGGACAAAGAAATTAATATTTACAGTCGACTTTCAAATGTGTGCTCATAGGGCTTTTTGAAGTAGGAGGAATGCTTGGGAGCAATGCCTGAGTAATGCTTCTCAGTTGCAAATCTGGCTGGACACACTGGTCCAAAAGATGAGGAAGCAAAACGGCCTCTATTGTCTGTAGGCAAATCCCAGAGTGGGGAAACCAATTAGCCTTTGTTGCAAAAGCCTGAAGAAGACTTTGAAGTGGCAGTGATGGGTTTTCAATGTACCAATAATGTCTCGACTGACCTAGCACTCAGATTTCTGCAGAGGGACGATGCCTGTTTGCTTCTGGGAGCACTGATAGCTAGTGAGGGTCAGATGTGCCTGGAACACACAGAGATGTTCTTTCCATGGTGCCACAGGAGTGTGTTGGTGCTCTAAAGTGAGATATTCTCCAACAGATAGACTTCTGTGTGGGTACCAAGCCTCCACATATCCATTGGGAAACACAACCTTTTTTTCTCAGGAGCTCATTACCCCATTTAGCCAGAGAAACATTACTGCCAGGAACACCATCTTGCATTTCATTTTTTTCCTTGCATTAGGTTTAATCCACATGTTGAATCATTCACACACAGCAAAGTACAGTTTTGGGGGGAAAAAAAACCCCAAAACTTGGTCTCAAACCTTTAACTGCACAAGGAAAACTGACTAGTGGGACCATTGCAGAAAAACTTTACTCCCCCATGTGGGCAATCTGTGCTGGAATGAAAACAGCTTTATCCTACAGCAGTGGGTTGTTTCCTTCCTGTAACTTCAGCCCAGCTGCTGTACAAGCTCTGCAGTGGCTGGAGAGGCAAGTTCATTTTGGATGTGACTGAGGGCTGAATCCTCTATTCCTGCACTCTACAAGCTTAAATCACCATTAGTTCTTTCATAAGGGGTCATCAAACTATCCACTCTGAAATCCAGTATGATGTGTGTCACACAACTTTATCATGACTGAAGCAAAGGCACATCATTTTCCTTTGACTTCAGCAGATGGAGGATCCCCCAGGAGCTAATTTCTTTTGGAGCTACATATATTGCATAACTGTTTCACGAGTAAAATTCTTCAAAAGGAGATTAACTATAAACATGTAAGCTAAGATGGTACTGTAACTTTCTCCAACATAAGTATCCATGTCCATAAAATGCCTGAAACACTTTAGCAACTGTCCCATGGTGGTCCCCAGTGGCTGAAATGTGGATCATTTTCCCATTATCTCTGACTTCCTGACATGGAAAAATTGGGAGAATTTATTAATGTTAGATCTGTTTATATCATCTTCTTATGCATCTGAAAATGTTTATGTACCCTAGGCATTCGGTATAGCCTGCTCATTAGAGATACAATTTTTTAGGAAAGTTTTTGGAAGCTTTAAGACCACCTTGCTGTTATTTTATAATTTATTCAGTTTGTAAAACTTACTTGCATATACTGAAATAGTGAAGTTCCCTTGAAAATATTTGAAATTGATTGTCCAATAAATAAAGATTCCCTAGATATTAATGTTTTTTCTTTTGATAAACTTCAGGAAAGTCTTAGATTTGGGCAGTGAAATGAAACTGATATTTCAGTGTGCTCAGAAATAAGCAGACAAAGAGCACATTCTTGCAATCTGTGCATGCTGGAGACTCAGGCTATGAGTGTCTCATGCTTCACTTCATCAATACAGGATAAAAGCATCTCCCAGTACCTACATCAGTCAGGTTTGGTGTGGTACCATCACTCCAACACTACAAATATGGAACTGGAGTGCTGTAGTACTAAGGGCAGGAGCTGTAAACAGTCTAGATGATAGCATTACTCAGCTGTCACTGTTGGTACATATATTCGAATTTTTAATCCTCACAACTGTCTGCCTTATTCCTAGAGCACCCAAAAGCCTAACTGCTGGATCCACAAGGACGCTTTGCTGGCAGAATCACTTAGGTTTTCAAGGGAATTCGCACAGAGTAGGAGAGAACTACTAAAAGCAGCTTTATACCAAATTGTGGATTTAAGTATCTAGGACCAAAATATCTCTAAGGGTCCAACACTTTATACAAGAAAAGATCTTCAGATGAGTCTAAGCAGGGATCAGCAGTGAAATCCCCCATGGGAGCCCATGAAGCTTCTCTACTGAGTAAGGTGACACTGCCAGG